CGGATCGTTGTTTTTTTTTTTTTTTGAGACACAGTTTATTCTGTTGCCCTGGGTAAAGTGCCATAGTGGCGTAGCCCACAGCAACCTCAAACTCTTTGGCTCAAGAGATCCTCTTGCTTCAGCCTCCCAGGCAGCTGAAACTATAGGAGCCCATCACAACACTCAGCTAGTTTTTCTATTTTCAGTGGAAACAGAGGCTTGCTCTTGCTCAGGCTGATTTAGGCTGGCTCAAACTGGCTTAGGCTGGCTTAGGCTGATCTTGAACTCCTGAGCTCCAGCAATCTACATGCCTTAGCCTTCCAAAGTGCTAGGATTATAGGCATGTACCACCATGCCCAGCCTTTTTGTGATTTTTAAAAAGTTATTAGGGATCAGGCTTTATGAGTTGCTATCTGGTAATGATCACTAAAATTTGATTTATAAGCCAGATTAGTTGTGTATTAATGCAGTGAGGCTGTAAACATTCCAGGATATTTGTATGGACTAGTCAGCTCATTCTCTTCCAGTAGGGAATTCTATCCAGAGAACCAAATGAAAATTTAGAACATTGTTTAATACAGATTCAGACCAAAGAGAATTGGATAATCTTAATTATATAATTATGTGCTTTGTGTATCTTTTCTCATAATAGGTATATTTTTGCCAGGCATTCAAATTAGGCCAGCCTTTCAGAGTACCTTCTCTAATCCATGAAGGATTATGCTAACAAATTCTTAAATTCTCAGATTACCATTTTCTTCTCTCTGGAGGAATGGGTTAGGTTAGATGATGTAGGAGATCTTGGCAAGGACTGAAATTCTAAGAATCTGACAAGTTTGACAGCTATTCTCATTATAATGGATAAGTAGACATTCTTATATATAAATCAGTTCCTTATAAATTTGATTAGTGTTAATCACTTCATCTGATGGCTTTTGAAAGTGTATCAAAATCTGTGTAAAAGCTTTGGTAAGCACAAAAATTACTTTTCTTAAACTATCTTATGATTTCTGATTAAAGTTGAAATAGAGTTTGAGATCATTGTCCAGTATCTAAAACTGTTGTAGTCAAATTAATGTGTAAGGAGTATAATATCAGATTCTGTACTGTGAAACTAATTGTTTTGTGTGTT